AGTTGTTGACCGCATACCCTCTGACGTAGCATTTCATTATTCAGCTCTGTCTACAAAGGTTACTTACAATCGCTGGTTCCCATAGCCCTCGTTCGCCAGGCCAGCGGAAATCCCAACCACAATAGCAGGACATCCTGAGAAAAAAACAACAGAGTTCAAACCTCTACACTAGTTTCACAGAAATCTGTGTTTTATGCTTCGAGTATTCAGTTATTTTAGTAAAAAGTGTGAATTATGAAACGCTATCTTCAAATTGATGATGGTGAGTGAATATTACAAGTATGCGACTTAAGATAGGTTTCATGTACCAGTCCCCTCTCTCCGTCCTCCCCCACTTCTCCTTAAAAATGCCCGCTTACAGCTCTTGAAAGTAAACTCATGAACTCCAATATCTGATCGTTAATTCTCATCTCTGGCTGCTACACATTTCCTAGTAAATAAGTAGCAAGAGTTTGGTGTTATGTCAACATAACATCATTCTAACTGATAACTTTGAGTATTCTCATCACCTATTTACTGGATAATGTAGGCTATCATGGAAAGAAATTACCTGTTAATTATTTCTACCAGTTAAGGGTTAATCTCCCAGTTGGAGAACAGTAACATGACTTACCCCACCCCATAAAGAAATAGAAAGACATTTTTCCAGTGTCTATATTCCTCTTTTCCTTGAGCCTGCGATACATGTGCAGACCTTCGACGAACATCCACGAAAAAGAAGCGCTGAAGAAATAATGCAGCACTATGGCGATCAACTGACACAATCTCTGCAATGAAAAAAATAAAAGCATCGTCGTAACATTAGAAGCCAAACTAGTGTGCTGTAAAGAAGACTAAAGCTAGATTTCCACCGTCGCGTTTTTGTCCACGCAAGTGAACGTGAACACGTTCGTTGAAATAAACGTTTACGTGCGTAAACGCATCCTTTAAGTAAACGTTGCCATACATCCACTTTCACGATTTTTTCAAGGAGTTTACATGCGTTTTACACACTTTGCAACCGCATTAGCGCAATTTGCTTTAGTTTAGCGTGAAAATACTTAGACACGGCTAGCGAAAACGACCCAAAGGCAAATAGTTACATTCGTAACCAAAATATGTGAAAAGCTCCTTGCTCAAGAGCGTAAATAACGCTCCGGGAGTTATATATATCTTCATAAATTTCACTGAGAGCTTAAACTGAAATCTAGTGCGCGCTGTTAAAATCGCCCTTGAATTTACAGGTCTCTCTGTTGATTTGCTTTCCCCCTAGGCAGTAATTCGCTGAAAGAAATCTAGAGAGAAAAACAACCGTAAACATACGTTGGCCTTGTAATTCTACCAACCTGATCCGCTGTTCTATTGATTCCCAAAAGGAACGTCAGCTCAGCGACGAAGACCGCTAAAATAAGGCACTTATGGATTGTTATCGAGTTGCTCTTCAGTTTGCTGTTAAGGAAAAAAAAGAGAGATGATAGTGATAATGATGCATATATATACAGTGCATCCTCCATAAGATTATGTTCTAATGCACTTTACAACACTTTGCATGGAGCTTTGGCAAGACTACATTTAGCAGCTTACACTGCTAAAAGTGAATTTTACAGGTGCAACCAATTTAAGAATTTTTATGGAAACGATGCCGCACCACAACACCAAGAGAAACGTTTCCTAATCTCGCGAGAAGTGTGTGGCTTGTTTTCTTTTTTGTATTGTATTAAATATATGAATCAGTAGTTTCACTAGCAACCTTTGTGGCTTCCTTTGGTGTTGATGTGTGGGATCCCATGAAAATGGGTTCCTACTCCACTGATGAGCAATCTCGTGATCAGTGGGCAAAAAAGGGAAAAAGTGTATGCGAGGGTTAAAAGTGTCCGTGCAGGGGGAGACCATGATAGGACGATAAGGAATATTTCCCATGATTTCTTGCAACCGTTGTTAGAGGGATAGATCAGTAAAATGACGAAAACCGGAAATATTACCGTAAACAAAAGAATGATATAAAGGCTGTAAGTAACAAGACCAGTGACACTGATATACCAATGTACGTCACTAAACGCATGGCAAAGGCTGCTTGCTCGGGATACTGGTGGGAAATCAAGACAAAAAAAATATATTAGTGACACTGCAACAACACACTACCTCTCTAGAAGAGAAAACAATAAAAACAACAACTTAAACTACTTGACTTAGTTTTATTTCTAATTTGTGAACCAATTTCATTTCAATCTTCTCCCTAATTATTTGGATCCTTTTGACCAATCTGTCTTTCTCAAAGGTTAAATATTAAACTCGAGTTTCTGGTAGATCTACATATCAATAATATTTTTTGAACTATTGATAGAAAATTTAATATTCGCTTTCCTACTGCAACAGTTTGGAAACTGAAAACAACTTCCTCTACGAGAAAAAGTGAGACTGACTCTCACACAGACCTTAAAATAAATAACCCTATAATCCCTAGGATAAACAAACACTACAATGCTTTCTACTGGGTACCTATTTTATTTCTATTAATTTCCTAATTTTTAAGTAAGCCCTTTAGCTCCAAAGATCTGATTGTTAATTCTCCCCCCTAGATGTTACGGTTTCCATGTAAATTAGATGCGAGAATTTGGTGTTAGATAACAGGGGCGGATCCAGGAATTTTTGATTGGGAGGGGGGGGGGATACAAACTTTGGTTCAGAAGGGATTGTTGGACTCTTGAGGCAAATTACTTCTCCCCACAGCCCCCACGCCCCCCTCCCACCAGTCGCGGTTGCACGTTATAATTCCTTGGCCGCTTACCGTTTACTTGGATTCATTAAAAAGGTCAGCCAGTTAAAAAATGATATACGATCCTGTCAATGTACGAATTTCAGTTTCAAAGTTGTAAGCGTCAGGCCTGTTCCCCTGGATCCGCCACTGCATATATATGTGACAACTGAGTGGAANATTATAGAGAGGAGTCTTATCTACAACAACTGAAATCGAAATATTCAATTATGGCACTCGACCAGATTAGATTTTTAGTTATTCTGGTAACCATCATATTTGTAAATATTTCTCCTTTAAAAACAAGGTAATAATTGTGTTGCTGTTGTTGTAACAACTCCACATCCATCAACCTCACCTGAAGATTCAAGTCTGACAAGACTGCAAAAGCTGTCAGGTGGGTGCAAGAGCAAACTGTGTGGGTTATGTTAGAAGAAGTATCTTTTTTACACCCGGAACGTGACCATCCACCACCGCGCGTGTCTCTGGTAACGAAAAACAATAGGCAGGTTTAGCAAACACAGCGCAACTTCCGGTTCGTGAATTACTGCTCTCGCAGTTTGACTGTAGCGGCGTGTTTCCGGTGGGCTCATGAAAGGTCACCACGGAAAATGCCGTAATACTCTTTCAATGCTACTTGACATCAGCCTGAGTTTAAGAATTCCCCTTATTAGCAAAGCTTGACCTCCCCAGGCGTTATTATCTAAGTTTCCTTTGGCCGAAATGCACATTACGAAGCAACGTACTCGTTCTTAGCTAAAGAGCAACAATGAAGAAATCCAGACCACAAACAACGAATCAGTAAGTTTGATAATGGCAAATGAAAAAAGGGCATCAAAGTCCTCAAAAGCACAAGAGCGAAGCGACATTTTAGCAAACGTCGGTACTTGCAATGCCCTTTATATCTTTTTAGGATAATTTCAGAGCTGAGCAAAGAGTTTCCAGCAATCTGATTGGTCGAGCGGTTCCTTGTAAACCGCTCCACGCGGTTTATATGAAATGTTAAAATAAAATGTTAACGAATGTTACTAAAATTTTATGATTTTAGAAAATTCTCCTTTGTTCAGCTCTGAAATTATACAAAAACAATTATTCGCCTCAGGTTCGGTGAAAATCGTCGAATAATCCCCTCGACTTCGTCTCGGGGATTATTCGACGATATTCACCGAGCCTGAGGCGAATAATTGTTAAATATTAAAACTCGTGCGGTTATGTAAAGTGTTCGAAAGTTGTAGCATAGCAAGTATTTTTCAAAATGAAACAAAAAGGACGTTGTAAGAATCAGGCCTGCATCAAGAAATAACCAAAAATACAAGTACATAACAAATACAACTTTGGAATATTTTAGCATTTAGTGCCGCTCGGATGACGTGTAACTCCTTCATTGTCTCTGATTGGCGGTCTCTAGGTTAACATGTTCTACCGCTGACGACAACTCAGAACGAAAGTGTGTACTCAGGCGCGAAAGCTGCGCGACTTGACACGAGTCCTTATGCTACCAAATTTAAGAATGCAG